GAGTAGGTTGGGATATCTAGTGTAAATCATGGAAACTATAGTTAATAACAGTGTATGGTATTCAGGATTTTTGTTAATTGATTAAATTACAGCTGCTGTCACCAAAGAATATTAGCAAGTTAATAACTTTATAATACATGTTATCTTTTTAATTTGGGTGGGGATTTTGTGTCTCCCAAAATTTTTTGTTATTTAATTTCCTATTCTCATTTTTTCTTATTTGTCTACATTTAAAATAATTTAGATGATATAAAAATAAAGATGCCAGTGTGGATTGCCCATCGTGAAGATGCAATCACTTCATGGCACTGGGGCTCTATGAGAACTCCACAGCTCTCCTTGGCTGGGTGTGGAGGCTCACACCTGTAATCCTAGCACGCTGGGAGGCTGAGATGGGAGGATCACTCAAGATCAGGAGTTTGAGACCAGCCTAAAAAAATAGAAGGAAATTAGCCGGACAACTAAAAATATATAGAAAAAATTACCCGGGCATGGTGGCGCAGGCCTAGATTCCCAGTTACTCCGGAGGCTGAGGCAGAAGGATTGCTTGAGCCCAGGAGTCTGAGGTTGCTGTGTGCTAGGCTGACGCCATTGTACTCACTCCAGCCCAGGTAACAAAGGGAGACTCTAAAAATAAAAATAAATAAATAAAAAAGAGAGAACTCCACAGATCACTCTCTGAACCTCTGAACAAGCCCTAAAAGGAGAGCCTGGAGCAAGCTATTGGCTGACTTGCACTGTTTCTTACAAGAAGTCTTTTGACATCCTTCTCTCTTGTTTTTTTTAACATAAGGTCTTTTTCTTTTCTTTCTTTCTTGGATTGTTTTTCTTTGTCATTGATTTTGAGCAATTAGAAAAAAGTTTCTTCTTTTCTTTTTGGTTTATTAAGATTCTTGGATCTATGCATTTTTGGTTATCTAATCTGGAAAATTTTTTGGCCAATAGTTCCTTTTTTTATTTTTGAGACAGAGTCTCGCCCATGCTAGTGTGCCGTGGCATTAGCCTAGGTCACAGCAACCTCAAATTCCTGGGCTCAAGCAATCCTCATGCCTCAGCCTCCCAAGTAGCTGGAACTACAAGCATGTGCCACCATGCCTGGCTAATTTTTCTATATATTTTTAGTTGTCTAGATAATTTCTTTCTATTTTTAGTACAGACTGAGTCTCACTCTTGCTAAGGCTGGTCTTGAACTCCTGACCTCAAGCGCTCCTCCCTCCTCAGCCTCCCAAAGTGCTTAGTATTACAGATGTGAGCCACCATGCCCAGCCTCGGCCCATTATTTCTTGAAATAACTTTCTGCCCTCACTTTATTTTAATTCAATTTAATGTATTTTTTTAACCTTTGTAGATTTCAGCAACACTCATATTAAACCACTTGGAGTTGCCTATGTCTCACTGATATTCTGATCATATTTTAAAATTCTTCTTTCTCTCTCATTTTCTCAAAACAAAGCATTATATTGTCCTTACATTTACTAATCTAATCTTATTCAATGTCCAATTTCTAATTAATCCTAGTCAATGTATTTCTCATTATAGAAGCTGTAGATTTTATCTCTATAATTTGTCTTTTTATGTCTTCTATATCTCTACTTACTTTACCTGAACATATGAAATATGGTTCTTTTAAATGTTTTAACGTCTTTGTCTGCTGATTCGAATATCTGTGTCAATTCTGGTTCATTTTGAATGATTACATGTTTTTCACTTTCCTGGTAGAATTTTTCTGCTTCTTTGAATCTTTGATAACTTTTTATGGAATCCCAGATATAGTGAATGTTTTAAGTGGTGTTGTATGGTTTTATTTTCCTAGTACTATATTAAGTGCTATTGGGAAGCACTGCTAACTTATTTGGAAATAGTTTGATCCTTTTGCATCTTCCTTTTAAGACATGTTAGCCTGGACTGGAGCAATGTTCAGTCTAGAGAAAATTACTCCCCGCTGCTGATGCAAGGTTTTTCTGTTGACTCTACCCATCGTCACAGAGAATAGTTATGAACAGTTATGAATAGTGCATATTATTTTATTAATAAGTACATATTTCTGTACTTCTCTGAGGAAAAGATGTTGTTAAAATAATTGGTAAACAAACAAACATACAGAAGACCTTGGGAGTACTTACAAAAATCATGGGCCTCAGAAGACATTAGTATTTTTTTCAAATCCAAAGTAATTTTTAAAAAGCAATAGCAGAAACTTGACCACATCATTCATCTGAAATATGTATGGATATAGTATGGAAGGTTTGGAGAACAGGTAATAATTCTCATGCCTTTAAAAAAACTTTTTCTTGTTTTTGAGCAACACGGTCCAAAGCTATCAAACTTCTTTATGGCCAGAGCTAAAGCTTTAGGTGGGGAAAGCTTCAGGAAAGGGAGACTTCCAGATTGGTTTATTAAATTTTGGGGGAGTTTGGATATGAGTTATTCATTGAAAAATATTTTCTGTCATTTTCCACTATGGTCACATTTTTGTTACAATGCAATTTTTAAACTAAATGGCAAAGAAGGAAAAAAACTCACAATTTTCAAAGAAGTCAACTTGGAAACAAACTCTGCGCTGGGAAGAGGTGGGTGTCAAAAGAACCTTTCAGCAGGACTTTTCCACAGGTATCTTCTCACATTTGTGAAGCCAGGGCAAGAGAATAAGTTGAGGCTCACATAGCAAATGTCTAAATGTTTAAAATGTATATCTATAGTGAATAAACTGTCCATAAATATTTTTTGTCCTTTTGCTTTGAGAGACATTTTATACCTTCATGACATGGAAAGCCAGACTGGAGTTTAGAATTGTCAGACGTATGCATGGAGCCAATGTCATCTTGTCTACTCTGGGAAAAACAAACCAGAAAGAAAAACCAGGGAAGCTCCTGGTTCACACAGGGAATTTAGGATTTAGAAAACCAAGACTCTAGGTGCCAGAAATCCTCCCAGATTTCTCTGCATCTGGGGTAGCATGGGGTGATTTTGGAGAAGCCATAGAAAAGTGCTCTAAGCCGGGTGTGGTGGCTGATGCCTGTAATCCTAACACTCTGGGAGGCCCAGGCGGGCAGATTGCTCGAGGTCAGGAGTTTGAAACCAGCCTGAGAGAGACCTTGTCTCTACTAAAAATAGAAAGAAATTATCTGGACAACTAAAACTATATAGAAAAAATTAGCCAGGCATGGTGGCACATGCCTGTAGTCCCAGCTACTTGGGAGGCTGAGGCAGCAGGATCACATGAGCGCAGGAGAAATTGAGGTTACTGTGAGTTAGCCTGATGCCACCACACTCACTCTAGCCTGGGCAACAAAGTGACACTCTGTCTCAAAAATAAAATAAAATAAAATAAATATAATAAAAAAAAAAGTGCTCTAGTGTTTTGGCCCCAGAGCAAGAGTAACTCTTTCATCCTATACTCTTTGTTTCTGAAACAGAGACCGATGCTCTGTGCAGTGAACATTAAAAGTCACCTCTGTTTGGAGACTTTTGATAAAGGCCATTCTCACTGGAGTTAAGTGATATCTCATTGTGGTTTTGATTTGCATTTCCCTGATGATGAAAGATGTTTAGCATTTTTTCATATGTTTGTTGGCCATTCTTCTGTCGTCTTTAGAAAAGTTTCTGTTCAAGTCCTTTGCACACTTTTTAATAGGGTTTCTTGATTTTTTTCTTGCTGATTTTCATGAGTTCTAAGTGTATTCTAGTTATCAGCAACTTATCAGATGCGTAGGATGCAAAAAATTTCTCCCATTCTGTAGGTTGTCTATTTACTTTCATGACTGTTTCCTTGGCTATGCAGAAGCTTTTAGTTTGATCATGTCCCATTTATTTATTTTTGTGCTGCTGGATTGCTTTGGGGACTTCTTCATAAACTCTTTGCCTAGGCCAATGTCTAGGAGAGTGTTTCCAACATTTTCCTCTAGAATTCTACAGTTTCATACCTTAGGTTTAAGTCTGTTATCCAGCGTAGTTGATTTTTGTGAGGAGGTGAAAGGTGTGGGTCCTGCTTTACCTTCTACAAGTGCTATCCATTTTCCCAGCACCATTTATGGAAAGGGATTCTTTTCCCAGCGTATGTTTTTGTCTGCTTTGTCAAAGATTAGATGGCTATATGAGGATGCTTTTATATCAGGATTCTCAGATCTGTTCACTGTCTATATTCCTATTTTTGTGCCAATACCAGATTTTGATTTAATTACTACAGCTTTGTGATATAGTTTGATATCTGGCATATTAATACCTCCCATTTATTTTTTGTTCCTAGAATTGGTTTTGATATTCAGAGTCTTCTTTGGTTCCACACAAAGCGTAAAATTATTTTTTCTATATCTGTGAAGATTGCTGATGGGATTTTAATAGGTATTGCATTGAATCTGTAGATCAGTTTGGGTAGTATAGACATTTTAATGATGTTGAGTCTGCCGATCCACGAGCATGGTAGATTCCATCTTTTAATCCTCTTGCTATTTCCTTCCTCAGTGTTTCATAGTTCTCCCTGTAGAGGTCTTTCACCTCCTTGGTTAAGTATATTCCTAGGTACTTTAATTTCTTTGTTGCTATTGTGAAGTGATTGAGTCTTTGATTTGGTTCGCTATTTGATTGTTGTTGGTGTATATGAATGTCTCTGGTTTCTGAAAATTTGTGATTTTTGATGAGATTATATTTGTAGAAATTTGTTTATGATTAGCCAAGGTGATAAACCAATCTTTTTCTTTGTCTTCAGGAAACCTAATCATCCTTTTTTTTGTTTATTTTTTTTGAGACAGAATCTCACCCTGTTGCCCAGGCTAGAGTGCCCTGGTGTCAGCCTTGCTCACAGCAACCCCGAACTCCTAGGCTCAAGTAATCTTACTGCTTCAGCTTCCTGAGTAGGTAGGACTAAAGACATGTGCCACCATGCCCAGCTAAATTTTTGTGTATATAGTTTATTTGTTCAGATAATTTATTTCTATTTTTTTTTTTTTTTTTTGGTAGAGAGACAGGGTCTCGAAATCCTGAGCTCAAAGGATCCTCCTGCCTCAGCCTCCCAGAGTGCTAGGATTACAGGATTGTGCCACCAGGCCCCGCCCAGGTAATCTAATCATCCTTATTAGCACCAATCTGAGGAGCCAGGAAATGCAATCAATTAGAAGTTATGGGTGTGGTCTTCAGAGATCCCATAAAAGGACACTCAAGGAGCCAAGCTCATTCTTCTCCACAACAGGCAGACTTGTGGCTGCAGAGACTTGGCTGCAGAGACTGGCTGCAGAGACTTCAGAAAGCTACCACTACTTACTCTGTGAAGTCGTGATCCCTGAACTGACCTCATACTGATTCTACAGCAAGCATTCGTGAGCTCGCACATTCCTTAGCTGAGTAGATAATCTATAAGAGTTCCTACTACTTCCTAACTCTGTAAGAAACAACGTAATTTTAATTTATAAATCAGCAAACTAAGATACTTTTCATAAAGTGATATGGTTTGCTTAGGTAGTAAAAGTGACTCCATGCCTATAACCTATTTAGAAATTAACTGTTTCATCATCTCATCTATCTTTTTTTGAATTAATCTGATAACTTTTTCTCTATTAGTTTATATATTTCTTTATTGTTTATATATGGTAATATGCAAAATAGTTGCCAGATAATTTGGAATTTTGTACATTTTGTGGGTCCTATAAATTAGCTAGGAACATTTTATTCCATAAGTAGGTCATATATGCATTATATTTTGCTTTAAATGTGGTGTATTCATGTATACATAGAAGAGATAAGGAAATAATTGATAACAGAATTAGGAAAATATTGCCTTTGATTATGCTAATCTGGCCTCTTGAGAAGCTTCAGTTTATTGACTTAAATTCTAAGGAAGGCGGGAAATGTTTAGGCCAGGGAAAGGGTCACATTGGTGATCATGAGGAATCTCAGTAATAGAATCCCATCTGTATTCATCTAGTGTAGAAATGGGGGCCCCACTTTATTTTGCAGAATAAATTTTATTACACGATAAGTATAATTTTTTCACAATGTAAAAGTATATCTGATAGATTTCAAAGACCTGGAAGATATTCCTACTTTCAATGCTGCAATTACTGGTCTGTTTGAATGCAGGATATAGCTAATAAAGAAGGAACAGTTTTGACAGCTTGAGGTATTCTTATATGAAGAGACTGGTTGAAGTATGATCCACTTTGACAAAATCAAGTTTAGCCTTTATTATTCTGATGTACTCAGAAGTTGATTTGGGCAAGGAATCTGTTTCAGACAAAAAAGGATATCAAGGAGAAACCTGGGTTTTGTGAATATGTCTTGTATATACATGTTTCTTATGCACTTTTATCAGTGGGTTCCATGAAAGGTATTTTCTAGAACTTGAGTGACAGACAGAAGATATACAGATCAGTGGCATTCTCTATGGTACTTCATTTTATCTGTTAAAATGTTTAGTTTGTTGAAACATTTATTCACTGTTTATAAGGATATTGTATTAAGAACCATTTCTTCAAATTGATTGATGCTTTCCAGAAGAATAAATATACCATAAAATGATTGATTGAGAGAATGATAATAGATGCTTAGAAGATAATGGTTGCTCGGTTAACTGATTTTAATTTTGATCCAAAGCTATAATATTTGGGCCTGGCATGGTGACTCATGACTGTTATCCTAGCATTCTGGGAGGCCAAGATAGAGGATTTCTTGAGCTCAAGTGTTCCAGACCAGCCTGACAAAAGGGAGAATCCATCTCCATTAAAAATCGAGAAATCAAATAATCATCGTGGTGTCCTGGTGGTGGTGAGCACATATGGTCCCAGCTACTTGGAAGGCTGAGGCAGGAGGATCGCTTGAGCCCAGGAGTTTGAGGTTGCTGTGAGGTATAATGGTACTGCCTTCATTCTGCCTAGGGGGACAGAGCAAGACTCTGTCTCAAAAAACAAACTAAAAAACACAAACACAATAAACAAAAACACACACACACACAAACAAAGCTATAACTCTAACTTATAGAGTGATGTTGGAGGAGTCACCAAATAGGAGAGTTATACCAATTAAGTGCAATAAGGAGATAAAATCTCAGTCTCTAATCCCATTGCCAAATCAATGCCTGGCAATGAACACTGACTGATTTTGAGATCCCTCCAGACCTTAGCCCTGGAGCTACAGATTGGGACAAGCTCCTGCAGTGCAAGTCATTTGGAGGAAACTAACATCCCACAAAACTGGTACATTTATAGTGGAGAAAGAGACTTGGCAAAGTAGATAGATGCATGTTGCTTAGGCAACTGACAAAGTTATCTACAACGCTTGAGAAATCTGCTTGTGCCTCAGTTTTCCATTTGTGTCATGCAAAGCCTATTCTGCTCTTGATACCACTTTTTTATTCAGTCAAAACTTGAGTAAATTTTTGCTTAGACTTTTGTCTCTCCAGGGCAGAAGAATAAATTCTTCTGATTTGCCTTCCTTAGGAAAATGGACACAGATTTCCCACAAGCTTTCCAGAAAGAAGTCACCTGCCTCATCTGCATGAACTACCTTCTAGACCCAGTCACCATAGGCTGTGGGCACAGCTTTTGTAGACCCTGCCTCTACCTGTCCTGGGAAAAAGCCAAAAGTCCTGGGCAGTGTCCTGCATGCAGACAACCGTCACAGCACAAAGACATCAAAACCGATACCCTTGTGAAGAAGATGTCTTCCCTGGCCAGAAATGTCAGTCTCTGGCAATTCCTGAGCTCTGAGGAGCAAATATGTGAGACCCACAAAGAGACAAAGAGGATGTTCTGTCACATGGACAAGAGCCTGCTCTGTTTGCTCTGCTCTAAGTCCCAGGAGCACGAGGCTCACAGACACTGTCCCATTGAAGTGGCAGTTGAGGACCGCCGGGTAAGTGATGCCTCTGAGAGCACTTTGAACTCTGGAGGGCTGTAGAGTCAGAGAGAGTAGAAGGAAATGAAGCTCATGAGCATGGTGATCCCATTCTTTACTGACTGCCTAATATGTACTGGGTATTGTTCTAGGCATGGAAAACACAGCTGTGAATAAAAGACATAAGTATAGCTGCCTCCATGAGGTTTGCATTCCAATGTCAGATGATACAGTCAGTCAATTATTGTTTTAGTCATACAGAATTATGCTAACAGCAACATAAAAACCTCATATTCAGAGACGACTGGCTATGAAAACTACATGGGCGAAGAGGCTTTTGTGAACATATAGGAAACATACTTAATAACACTAGACGAATAAGTTAGATTTAAGCACATTGTAATTAGCAGATGAGAAGCAATAGCAGGTGGACCAGGGGTCCTCACAGTTTTTAAACAGGGGGCCAGTTCACTGTCCCTCAGACCATTGGTGGTCCGGAGTATAGTTTTAAAAAAGCTATGAAGAAATTCTAATGCACACTGCATGTATCTTAGTTTGAAGTAAAAAACAAATGGGCAAAAACACACGCGTGTAGCCCGCGGGTGTAGTTCGAGGATGCCTGAGATGGACAGTATAAGACAAGATGCTTATCTGCAATTTACCCAGCTATATAAAATATTTGTTTTCCCTTGAGAATGATTACATTATTTGTGGTCTATGGTCTAAAATCTTCTAAAACAGATAGTTATGGAGTGTAAATAGGAGAAGATAATCCTTCCATTCTTCCTAAGGTACTTTTTTTGAACATCCCTGGACTTTCTGCATCAGCCAAGATCAGAAATATATATTTGTTTTTCTGTTGTTCACATTCATAGTTCTCTTACAGGAGAAGCTAGTAATGGAAATGAGATCTATATGGGACAAGATCCAAGAAAATAAGAGAAACCTGAAAGAAGAGAGCACAACAATTAATCACTGGATGGTGAGTGTGGGACTTATTTCCATCAGAATCAGCTATAGAGACATGCTAGAACCTCAGCCTTTAAGAATGTGAGCTGAAATCATGAGTTCTGACATTCAACACATCAGTTAATTTATAGGAAGGATAACTGACTTTTTCACTGTAGGGTCGCATTGCTCTTAGTATTTTTAGTCCCTTAGGCATCAGCAACTTCCAAAATAAATAAATAAATAAAACGCTGTTCAAACAAAGTTCAACAAGTAGTAAGATGAAGGCACATAAAGGGATTTGCAGAAATTCAGTAATCAGTGAGCCTTGCCAAAATTTCTCAATATATATTTAAAATTAATCTGAGTACTAAGGGAAAAATAGGTGTTAAAAGTCCCTGGGTATTTCAGGCAAAGATTTATGTATGCAATGAGCTCCAGAAACAGAAAAGCATATAATTAGGTATTTCAGGCATTTCATACTGATCAGTACAATGAGCCTTTGGGGATGGAAAAGGTATGAACAGGAATTTCAGAAGTGTGCCTGCCATGGTAAAAACTGATAGCACAGCAGCTAGACAGTGATACTGGTAGGACAATATAAAACATTGTGCATAAAGCTGAAAAAGAACAAAACAAAAGCCAAAAGATTTGGTGTAGTTAGAGAAGGAATGTATGATTATTGGGAGGATATGCAATGAAATGAAAATTAATGTTTTTAACATGGCTGGGCAATATGAGGCCTGTGGTCATGTACAGGAAGAAGATAGAAATTAGAATAACAGAAATCATTTTAAGGGCTTAGCTTTCGATATTTAAGAAATTTTAAACTTGTCTGATGACTTATAGTATATATTATGTACAATATTTCTTCTATTTGTAAGTGGTCAGGTTGCTGCTTGGGAAGACTAATTTGCTAAACAGATCAAAACATTTCATACAATGATTTAGTAAGAAACCATAAATTTCAAC